CTGCCGATAAAATGCCTGCCGAGAAAATGCTTGAATTAGTAACCAGTCGTGTTTACAGAGTTAATAATAACATAAAATCATATGCTCATTAAACTTAAAGCAAGAATTCAAATAAAAAACAAAATAAAATTCGGCTCGACTCGATGAATATTCAGTATACGGACATATATATACACATAAATAAATGTATATCTATCAGTCAAGACATGCATATCTACCGCAAAGATAGACGTATATATGTATTTATTCTGTGCAGATGCATGCCCGTATATATGAACATTCTTTGGGTCGGGCCTTGCACGATTTTAACCACCCGTCCGACTGTTAGTTAAGAACCGCAATTCCAGCCGGAGATGAAGAACCACAGGACTACCAATGAGTCGCATATCGTTAGACTTCCTTTCACACAGAATTAACATTCAATAAGGCACGAAACAGCTCCGCAAACAACGCATCGCCCTCTTGTCGCAAACAACGAAAACAAGTGGCCATCATCATCAGCTTCCGCGGTGACAACGCAATCCAGCATCGCCCCCCCCCCCCTTCCCCGCTCCCCCTCGCCTACGCGGAGCATAATGGATGAAAATGATGGGAATTCACTCGAAAATATCACCCATTTGTTACCCACCTCTGGCCTCGCACGTTATTAACCCCATTGTTATGATCAATTTTTTTTTTTACGAAACTATATCCCATACATACATACATACATACATATATGCACGCGCACGCGCGCGCGCTTACACACACACAACCATAAACATATACACATAATGTCTGGGTTAAGAATCGCATATCCAATTACTTTCTCCTTTTTATAGTCTATTATCTAAAATGAATTCCCTCCCCCTAAATTGAGTCCAGTCTGCAAAAAAGGGAAAGGAATAAACCTCTTCCCCTTCTCCTCTTCCCTCGTTGCCCCCCTTCCCCCTTTCCCCCTCCTGATAAGCGGATCACCCTTCAAAGTCCCCTCCCCCCCCCCCTCAGGCATCAACACCTAAGTTTCCAGCGCCTTCTTCGCCGCAGCCATCAGGACCCAATTCTGGAGATCTTCGCCCTTCCCCCTCTTATGCCTTCTTATTCATCTTCTCCTCCACCTCTTCCTTCTTCCTCCACCGCTATTCACTTCCTTCCTCTTCTTTTTTTTCTTTTTGTCGTTCTTCCTTACCCCCCCTCCCCCTCCCTTTCTGCGCCAGCGTCGCCCGTCCGCGTGCCTGCCTCGCCGCGCCGCCGGGGGCGTTCCCCTCCCCGTCCCCGCAGCCTCTAAAGGCGCCTCCCCGTGCCCCTCGAAGCTTTCAAGGGATCTGTCACATTCCGCTTCACCTCCGGCGGCGCGCGATTGGTCTTTTGTCATCGCGATTTGGCGTCTCTTTGGCACGGTCTTCATGGTCTTACCGAGATTGTGTGTCTGTTCGCATTACTGAAACGCAACCTTAAAAAACTTTCAAGTGTGTTCCACCTGCCTCCCTCCCCCTTTCTCTTCATCTTTCTGCTTCTGCTTCCTTATCTCTCACCCACTCAGGCCCTTTCTCTTTATCCATCAATCTTCGACCTCTCTCAGCACTTCCGCCCCTTCCACGGCCCCTGCTATTGTGTCCAAGGCCCTTCGTCCTCACACTGCGCCAGGCCTCGAGGGGACGATGCACGGCGCGGCCGGGCAGCCCCTCTCGGCCGGGCTTTCCCTCAGGCGCCTCCCCTCATGTCGGGGCTTAAATCGGTAAAGAGTCGCATCTTCCTCCCTCTTCCCCTCAGCCGCGGACCTCGTTTAATGCGTGTTTGAGCACCGACAACTCTACCGAGAAGAGAAACAATTTTTCTCTCCAGCGGAACCCAATAGTAAACTGCTGTCTCTGTCCCTTTGTTACGGCGACTGGAAGTCAGTAGGACCTTCACCAACTGCGTCCACTTTGTAGTTTTTGTTGGAAGAATAATATTTATAACTAGTAACAGCAATGACGCCAATGAAAAAAAAAATAAAATAAAACAGAACAATAAAAAATTACATTAACGCCAAAGGCAATATACATGATTAATGGCACTAACTATAAACCATAAAACAACAATAAAAACTTTAACAACAAACATTATAATCAATGCATCCAATATGATCGTTTCCACACAGATCACATCACATTTTTTATGAAACGCAATTAATCTAGATCATTGGCACAATTATTTTCCGGCAAAGCACAATATTGCCATAAACAATACCAATAATAGTAAAAGTCGGATTCCCTCTGTTGACAAACACAACATCCAGTAGATTGACGCTCTCTCCTCTCCTTTCGTTTATTCCAGATTTTGGCTAGTTCCGTATTTATGGCCTCTTACTGATCTTTTCTCACTTACTCCCATGTGCCTTTCCTTCTTTCCCCATTAGCTTTGCTTTTTTATGCTGTATCCAAATCCCCTTTTCCAATACACCACTTTCTTCCTCCCTTACAAAGCTCATTTTTTTCCTTCCCTATTCCAACCACCCCCATCACTCCCCCCCACCCCA